TGGCGAGCAAAGTATTTCAGAGAGTATGCAGGAAGACGGGGAAAAATCTATAAATGATTAGGGAATGACTGAGTCTCATCCTACATATCATACAATCATCAAATAAACAATTAAATTTGATTGGAATAATGAATATAAATCATATATTCAAATTTTTGAAGTAAAAAGCAAACAACCAAAAAAATGAGATTATTTATTAAAAAATTACCAAAAGTACTATGAATCAAATTATTTCAAAATATTTTTATATCGATGTTGGTGTTGAATAAAATGTTATCCCCGCACTGTCTTATTGAGTCTTTGAATATCTGTAACGTCGCAATTAGATTTCATCAGAGAAATACCATGATCCTGATCAATCTCTTCGACGGATCGTTGTCATCTAGTTCTAATTTCAGCTTCTACTCCTGAACATGCTCAAGTAATTCTAAAAATGTCTTTCAAAACGTAACCTGAAACCTCATCTTCTCTCTAATCTCTGCAAAGCACGTGTCCACCTGTAAATTTTATCGTAATATACAAGCACACAAAAATTTTGAAATTAGACATTTGAAATTTTTATCACTTGTTGCATAAAATTATAATTGATATACATACTTATTAGGTTGTACACAAATTTTACGAAAGACTCAAAATATCCGACTGCAAAAGTATTAATCAACAACATATCTTAAATTTTCAAAATATATCTTTCATATTTATACAAATTCTATAGTCTTATAACATAAGGCTTCAGTTTCAGGAAATATTTTTTTGGACAACATAATTTAATCCCTAGAAATATTATATCACCATAAATTTTTAAAGTTGGTTTTAAATTAAAAATTTTGTTGTTGTCATTGAGTTCATATACTTCATATTTTCATAGAAGCCAATAAAACATGTCATTGATGTATCAATAAAATTAAATAATTTTTTTTAAGATTAAATTATTTTTCTGTTTTAATATCTATTTTTTTGAGAATATAATTTGAAATATATTTATTTATAAATAAGAAATATATCTAAATTTTCTTTTGAAGAACTTGTTCAAAATTTTTTTTATAGTTTTTATGTCTTTTTCACATGATATACTATTTTAACTACTAAATCCTTTGAAATTTTAAATTTTTACATATTCAAAATTTGCTAAAATTATATATGTTTCATAAAATCTGATCAATTCATTTGCTACTTGTTTTTCCTATCTTACCTCTCATCTTAATTTTCTTATTTTTCATTTGTACTTTTAGATAGTGAATATTCTAGCAAAGTATGTTTACTAAATTTTTTTACTATAATAGTTTTTTAACCAGATTTATGTATGAATGAGAAGCATTTGAGCTTCACATTTAGTTTATTTATATGATTGAGTACAGTCAATTCTACAGCATTTTTTAATATTTTAAACAACTATAATTTCATTAAAAACATCTTATTCAGGGTTTATGTTATTGACTTTGTGATCGTCATATATGATATGATGGAATTTTGATGTATAACATATTGTTTAATTGCTTCAATCCTATTTGATCTCTCAAATATAGATATTCAATTAGTGTTCATAATTTGTAGTTTATGTGTATTAAAAAAAAACATTTCAAGTAAAATTCTTATCATGTTCAACCCTTGTTAGACTTGAAAATTTTATTTGATAAATTTATATTTGATATTATCATATTCAAAAAATTTTATAATTATTTTATATTTATTTCAATTTTGAAATCTCAATCAAAACATGTCGATAGAATAATATGTGGAAGAATTTTATTCATTTTTTCATATAAAAATCATATAAAAAATATGGCCAAAATAAAAAATATTATTTAAAAGAATTATAATGAAGATTAAATATTTAATATAAAAAAATTAAAAATATTCTTTTTATTTAAAAATATATACTTCGAATTATTTGACAAAATTTTTTGGTTCATTCAATGTGTAGGCAATAATATAATTTCAATCTCTTGAAATGAATAAATTTTTTCTTTAGTTTTATATGCATATTTGGATTTTTTAAATAATATTGCTATTTAAAAAAATAAATTTTATTGTTTGAAAATAACAGAATATTCTTCCATTTTTATTTTTAATTTAATTTTCTACATTATATAATGATTTTAAAATCTATTCTTTGTTTCAATTTTTAAAAAAAGATTGATTTTGAAAATTGAAAAAAACTTTAATTACTCAATTTTCTTTCCAATTATTTGTGAAAATTTAAATCTTGGTCAAAATTGTGCTACATTTTGATTATAATTGAAATAATTTAAATTAATCAACAATATTGTGGATAAAATGCTGATGTTATAATATATTTATGAGCTATTATATATATAAAATAAAATTTTTTTTGTCAATTAAAATCTTGATATCCTTAAAATCCATTGTTTAAAGTTTAATTTGCAATCAACTTTTTTTTTAAAAAAAAATTCATGCAATTGATGCATTGAAGTTTTTTCAACTTTTTGTGAGTATTAAAATATTATATTTTTTTAAGTTAAATTTATTAAGTTTTTTTACTTAATTTCAATTTTTGTAAAATTAAAAAAATAAAATAGTAAATCTATATAGAGAAATAAAAAAATTGTTTGGTAATTTTATTTGTGATACATATGTAAAATTTATGAAAGACCATCATATCTTTTAAAACTTGCAAAAGTAAATCCTTTATATCAATATCTTAGCTTGATTGAATTTTCCATCCATGTCAACGTTAAATTTAATTAATTGCATATGCATTTGTGATATTTGATGCTAATTTGCTTCAACTTTCAATTCTTCATTTGATTTGCTGCAAGATATAATGCACTCCAATTATCATAATGAAAATTTATAACAATATGCTTGAATCTTATCTTAATGATATGCCTATTTAACAGAATGAAATCTTTTGTTTATCATGCATTTTTTTGGTTGATTGAGCAATATACAAAATATATATTTTATTAGTGCATACACTTTCAAACATAAACACATAGTTAATTGTAGATATTTTTTTTATATAATATTGTACATTGTCACGATCAGATTTGAAATTATGTAATAAATCATCAAACAAAAGAACATTTCATTTATTATCATTGAGATAATTAAGACTACAATTCACAACTTCTCAATGCAAATATTTTAGATTTGACATATAATTGCTAATCTTGTTCACGGTTAGAGCAATATCAATATTGATTTAATTATATTGTTATACATTGCTCTATTTTGGGCATATCATCGTATTTAGTGCTTATTGCTTTATTTTAATAGTATCAATCTTTTGAATATGATGCCAAAATGAAAACTTGTTCAAAATATGAAGTGATAAATCCATTGAGCGCAAGTTGTATATTCTTGCTTTGATTTTAACATAAATTTTTCATTTTCAAATTCTTATAAACATTCATACTTTATATCTACTTATTCAAATTATTGATTTTAGATGCAAATTTGAATTGATTTTTGTATATGTCATCTTGATTCTTTTTCGGAAAGAACTTGTCATTCACATTGGATGCTAAATGATAAGAATAAAGATTCTCGTTATTTAAATTTGATTGATATAAATACACATACATACAGTTATCACACATGCTTTGTGAAATTCTAATGCTTTTGTAAATAGATCAAAGATTGCATTATTTGCCTATACGATTGAACCAAGCTAAATATATAGTAAAATCAATCATTTGTGGTTTAACTATATTTTGTTTTATTTTCAAAGCCAATCGATTAACCCAAAGATAAAAATTTCCTTAAAAAATTATAAAAATGTAATGGATGTATTAATATTATACAGAATTAGATTAAATATTACAAAACATGCCCATATTAGCCAAACTGTGACATAATTTCGCTAAGGTGAAAGAAATTTGTTTCAATTTACACACTTGTATAGCATGAAATCTTTATCCTGGCAAAAAAATTTATCTGTTTATCATCCGGTGGATTGTACTCAAATTATATATCAGTTTCTGATTAATAAAATATAAATTTTTCCGGAGTCTCACTAGTTTTCATGTCTTGTTACTAATCAGCATTTATATCTCATGTTCTATATCTATATTGACAGAGATCAAATTATTTTTATTTAAAGAAATTATATTTTTTTCCAAGATAAATTAATTATCATCAACTTACTCAATTTTAAAAATCATAATATTCAAGAATACATCAATCATTCTATATAACGAAAATTTTCCTAATTTGATTTAATGATTTTACAGTATAAAGTTTAGATTACATTTTATTGTTTCATTTAGTTTTTTGAGTATCACTAAAATATAATACTCCATCAATTCTTACTCTTCATAACTGTACCTCAACTACTTGAGTTTTTTTCTCGTCACACCATAACAAAAATCAACGGACACATGTCACAACTCTCACAAGTGGTTCGGCAGTTGGAAAACTGTCCCAATTTGTAGACTTCACGAGATTATGAAGTCACTCGAGGGCGTCCCTTGGCTCGTTCCAGGACAGTCTCTTCATGGAACAGAGTTCAGATAACAATGCGGTTGTTTACCTGAACCCATGTTGCGGAGCTGGTGTTCAATAGTTTCAGTAGCTGGATGTTTGAACACTGTAACTATTTGCTCCTCAATACCCCCAAATACCTGGAATCCTACGAGAGCAAATGCGGAGCCTGAATATGCTCGACCAACCGTCCAACTTCGTGTTCAAAACTCCAATGCTGTGAGTGAACTTTATTAACAGTGAGATATTTGTGTTCTATAAACGGGTCTACCTTGCACCAACGAAGAAGACCAACTTTCCCGTTCCCCAATCACAGAGTACTCCGCATGTGCAATCTCACTGTTAAGACGTCGTGATGCTATTGTACATGATCATGGACTTTCTCCAGGGGGAGAAGTGGGGCCTTCGAATCTGCCTGAAATGCGAAAATCGATTTTCCAAGACACTTCCGACCTGGATGTTGCTGGCGAGTCACTTAGGAACCACTCAAAAGCGCCCAAGTGACAAGTTGCTATTTGAGGTGCTTGTGGCAATGCCATGCTTCAAGGTTACCTCGAGAAGAACTCAGCTCTGTCTGAAACAATGAGAGCTTAAGTAGAGAAGTTAGCATTCATTGATTTCATTCATGACCTACCTACCTGTACGACTGAAAGACAAAGCAGCTGGATTCATATGCAACAAGGCAGATATTTCTCCAAGAAGTTCTCTGCCAGAACAGCTGAAACGTCTTCTCAGTTCGCTACGGTTTATTCCTCTGCTTGACTATCTTTCCTCGGTTCACTACAACTTTCTGCAATGGCGAGTGCTATGATGGGTGCACCCAAGGAAATGACCAACGTGGAGAACAGTGAGAAGGTTGAAGAGCTTGGTCAGTTTGCTGTAAATGAATACAACACGAAGGAGGTACGGATTTGCTTCGACTATTTTTTGCTGTCATGAATTGAAAATGAATGTGTATACTTCAGAGCTGAAATGCACTTCGGTTACTGATAGCTCGGTGTATTGTTATTGCTAGGAAATTGGTATTGCTTTATAATCCAATATAACAGTGAAGTTGTTTGCCTTCACGCATTCGGATGCCTGAACGAAGAAAACAAAAGCTTTACATGAATATCTACTTCATGCTATTTTCGGATGATATTCAGGGCTAGGGATTGTACTGCAGAGTATTCTGAAATTGAATGAACGGCATTGCAGGGAAAGAATTTGCAGTTCAAGAAAGTGGTCTCCGCAAAGGAGCAAGTGGTGCAAGGAGTCATGTATCACCTCACAATTGAAGCCAGTGAAGGTGATGAAGCTGAAAAGTTATATGAAGCCAAGGTGTGGCAGAAGCCTGGAGAGGAGCCCAAGACTCTTGAGAAATTTGTGCCGAAGACTAGTGAAGCTGTCACAAGTGAGTATTACTTTAAATACTCTCAAAGCAAATGATGTGAAGTACCTTTTGGCTTTAGCTTTCTGTAGTCAATCTTGAGATACGAAATTTAATCTTTGTGATTTTGAAGGGTCTTATTGATGCTTGAACTTAAGATCCCACTGATCTTCTTGTGCTCAATGGTCGACGGACTCAATACTGAAAAAAACTTGGAAGTCCCCGTGTCTAAATGCAGTTAACACAATTTTCCACATCTAGAGTGAGTCTCTTGTTGTACTTCGATTGTTACGATATTGAGAAAAAAATGTTGGATATATCTGGCTTCTTTCATTTCCTGCATGAACGTCAAGTAAAGTGCCCTAGAGCAAATATAGAGGATTATTATCGGTTTAATCTCACTAAAAATGAATCTGGTACTGGAATCAGGAATTACTACGCAGAAGCTGCAGGTGGTTTCAGTTGACAATCCTTCAGTCAAGCTAGCAGCAGAGCAAGCCATGGAAGCATATAATGCGAAATCTAACTCCCTCGTCCGCTACGAGCTTGTTCAGATCACAAATGCTCACGCCAAGGTTATATTCTACCTTTTAATATATTATTTGAAGATCATCAATTGCCCACATATAATCATTGTTTCATCATATAGTCAATATGAAGTATTCTTGCATTGAAAATCTCAAGCATTCCTTTTTAATAACAGCGGATATTGTGGTATTTCAGCTTATCAAAGTGGTCGATGACAGCACCCCAGTCTCATGTATGGGTAAGTTAGGTAGCATGTGTGGTAAGCCAGGTAAGGAGCAAGAGAGCTATGAGCTCGAAATGACCGTGTCCAGAGGTGAAAAGGAAGAAAGTGTGAAAGCTGAGGTACACCACAGTGTGGATGGTGAATGGACAGTGAAGCACGTTACCCCCGTGTAAAATATACTTGGATTCATATTCTAGACGGCATAGAGGTGAATCTTCTTATAAAGGTGGTCTCTCACAGAATTGACTGCTGTGACTCAAAGGACTTGAAAATCTGCACAAGCTCTGTCTCATCTATCTATCTGGTGGAAGTACAACAACACGACTAACACATGTACCAATAGCATGTCAGCATTGAGCCAGAAGGGGAACGTTTGACGAAGGATCTCTTATTCTTCAGAGCAGGCTCAAGAGATAGGAAGAAAATTTGAGATGCATGCCTAGCTAGTTTGCTAGGATATGATCGACCAGAAATTCAATGTCTTGTCGTACATAGGCATAAAGATTTTGATAATCAAGGCAGAGGACTAGGGCAGAAACGTAGGGATGGAACCACGTGCCACTTCACTTTAGTTAGAAATGTAGGACATTTGCAGCTCTTCATATCTCGACAGTGAACTGTAAAAGAATAAAAGTCTTCCAGCCCCTCTTGTCTATTTGTGAAGTTTTGCGGCTTCCAGCACTATTTCTGGACTCTAATATGCAGCGTCAAAGAAATCTTCTTACATGTAGGAGATATTGGAGAAGCGGTCGGAAGGTAGAGATTTATCATGAGAGTGTTTGGTACGTCATCGCTCCTCGTGCCTCCGGGCTGCACTTCGCCTCGCCTTTTTTGTCTGGACTTTGTTTTCGTTGTGATGGTTCGGATAGCGTGCTTTTTATCCCATGCATCGCCCTCTTTCCCGTGTCAGAAGTCAGTTACAAAAGACATGTCAGTGGCTTAAATCGAGTAATGTCACCATCTGAGAATGAACGACTCCGGCTTCGCATCAGAAAAACGTGGCTCATACACTGAAACATAGAAAAGCAGCAGCGACTCCATGCACAATGATCGGCGGTGAGAGAACTAGGGAAACATATTGACAATGTTTTTTCAGACCTGATATTTCCAGTGGAAATCCCACATTTTCAACGACCGATGTTTCTATTGCTCTTGGACTGACTTTGGCCACGTCATGGATCTCGTTATGGCTCTCAATGTCGTTATCCGAGTACGCGACTGTCCTGTGCCTCCTCAGCTTCATTAGATGCTGTGGATTTGGTTTCGTTTTCTTTCTCACCCATTCAGAATTTCTTCTCCTCCATATTTGTCCCTTGAATGTCTCTATCAGAGTAATTCGGACTTTCAGTATATTTTATGTTTTTCCGCTTACTCTTCATAAGATTAGAGTGCATATAGGTGATTCGTCCAAGGCGATTGTCCGTCCGAAATCAGATTGTCCTAGTTAATTACTCCCCCGCGACTCAAAAGTCTTCACTTCCTTCCTTTTCTGTTTCAGGGTTTAAGACTTCACATTTTTTATCATACTTAGTCTGAAGTCTCTATCTAAAGAAGTTTTGAGCCACGTAAAACTGAATCGCCCTCTGAAATTCACAACATGGATGACTAAGAACTCAACTATATATATATATATATATATATATATATATATAGTTGTTTCAAGGTGTCCGTCCTATCGGTTTCTTCAGTATTCTCTAATATGCATTGTGGTGAATATAACTGTACCTTGTGAAGTTACTCGAAGTGAAAGACTTCCTATGAATCCAGAATGAGATACTGTCAAATCACAGAAACCTTGGTATAGAAGACAAGCTGCACAAAGTGGAAGGAGCTTTCTTCGAGACAAAGTAGGGGTTGTGATAGATCAAATAAATTCTGTGACGTGATAGATAATAGGAACAAGAAGAATTTTCTTGTAAATGTCTCATGGTTTACAAATGAGATTCTTCATGCCAAAATATAAATAGCACTGCAGCCGGGCATGACATGGCCGGGAACCACACCATCTGCAATAATTGCAGATGGTGTGGTGCCCGGCTATGTCATCTCCAGCAGTAGGAAAATCTAAAGCTTTAGACAAGCCAGAGAAGCCACAACAAACTGGAACGTGCGATATCTACGAATTCTGCACATTCGAGCAGTTTAGTCCATTCAAAAGTGTTTCTAACTCGATCTCTCGTTTTGAAATGTTGGTTCTGCCTTGCAGTGCTACAGCAGAGTAAATGACAGAGTGAATAATCTTTTATTGACTGAAGAAGCAATTGGATAGACCAAAATTCATATCTACAGACATGAGGCATATAATGATCTTCAGCACACTCGCATGCGCTCAATCTACACCTTGAATTGAACTGAGTGACGATTAAGATAATGTACAACCTTACAGAAAGATCGTGATTTCCCTGCATCGAAAGATCCTAGACAATCTCCTCGACTGTGACCAAAAGCTTATCTTTAATTTTAATGACGAACGAGCGGTCAATAATAGGCTCGAAATTCTCAGGGACCACCTTGAATGTGATGGAGCGAGCCATGAGCGACGCCACGATATATTTCATCTGGGTCAGAGACATTTCCTTGCCCAAGCAGACTCGAGGACCGGCTTGAAACACTGGAAACTTGAACGCACTCTCCTGCACAAGCGTCCCATTATGAAACCATCGTTCAGGTTTGTATTCGAGACAGTCCTGACCCCACAGGCTTTCGAGCCTACCCATTGCCCACGGACTGTAAGTAACACGGTCGTTCTTATGAACAATCGTTCCATCCGGTAGGACGTCATTAGCAGACGCCATCTTACCATCCATTGGAACTGGTGGGTAAAGTCTGAGAGTCTCCTGCAGAGCTGCGTGCAGATAATCCATGTCCTTCAGCTCTTCGAAATTGAACGTCAAATCCGAAGGTATGCCTGCCTGTGGGTCAATCCGGTCTCGAATGACTCCGAGAACTTCGGCTCTGATTTTCCGTGCCACTTGAGGATGCTTGGACATGAACCAGAAGAACCACGAGAGTGTCGAGGAGGACGAGTCTTTGCCGGCGATGACCAGGCTGACAACCATGTCCCTGATGTAGACATCGGAGGTATTCCGTGAGGTACTCTTGGAGCCCGAGGTCGACTTCTGAACTTGTGCTGGGGTTTTACCATCGAGAGCTAGCTGGAGGAATCTGGATAAGAGGTCGGTTTTGCCCTCGGAGGCCGGTCGGGTTCCGTGCAGGAGTTCAGCTTTGCGAGTTTGGATGATGCTGTAGCATAGGTCATCGATTAAGTTCAGAGCTTTGTCGAGCCTCTTTCCACGTGAAGACCAAAGCTTAAAGAATTTCCGGATGGGAGAAGTGAGGCCCATACGGTGGGAGAGGATTTTGGCAGCCTCGTCGATTGCATTGGCAAGTGTCATGTCAGGCAAGGAAGGATCGAGAACCTGAGGATCATGACCGACTATCAAGTTGCAGATGTTATCGAAGGCAAAGCGCATCATCAGGTCCTGGATATCTATGGCTTTTCCCTCACTCCTCGCTGAGCTCAGCAAAGGAAGCAGGCGATCTAGAGTCTCCTTCTCCACCACCTCCACTAGAAACAGACGCAGGGATTTCGTGCTAAACTCGACACTGGCGAGCTTACGCTGCGATTTCCACGACTCATGATCCGCATTGAATATCCCGTCTCCGAGAAACGGGAACAGGATTTCACGAGTCGTTTCACCTTTGGGATAATTGTCGAAGTTTGTCTTCAGAATGTGCTCCAGATTGGCAGGATTGCCTGTGTAAATCTGACATCGCCCTCCAGCGAAGGCTCGTTCTACTCGAATTGTGTGACCCGGATCCTTTGAGATATACTCCGTGATCCAGTTCAGAAATCTACCCCTATTGGCCATGAGTTCGAATTGACACCCGACGATGGGATATGTCCTGGGCCCTCTGTTGGATCCGTATAGGGGGTGCCGATCCAGCTTGTATTTGCAGTACCATGCCAGAGCTACGACTCCCAAAAGTATCACAGAGTACGATCGCACATCGGACTCCTCCATGCTCGTCCTGGCGTCGCCCATGGTCAGCTCTGCACTCATAGATAGCCCAACAGACTAGTCCTCTAGCATCCTCGGTCCACTGGAGCTGAGACTGGATATGGATCCTCTCGTTGACACCATACTTTATAATCGCTGCGCCCGAACTCGAACTCCCCTCGCGCCTCCTCACGACAAATGTCACCGCGTGTGCACTTTTCGCTAAATCCACTCCTCCTGAATCCTCCTGAACGACTCGGACCGTGTGACCGGATAAACCGCGCCAACTCGACCATTCTCCCCAATCTAGTAAAAACGTTGTGACCGGATAAACCGAGCCCAGGGCCTTCCTTCTTCGTTCCGGGGTTTCGCATTCTTGTTGTTTTAATCATGCTCCAGTCCGAGTGGGACATTATTCTCTTCCCAGAAGTCAAACGTGTCGAGGTAGACAAAATAAAATTTCGATCTTGAAAATTTTCTTACTCCTTTCCGTGTTCGTATGAAACATGCTTCTTTTGTCGAAGAAATAATAAATGGATATCCACCAATTCTGATGCTTAAAATATGATTTTATTGAACTGATATATGAATGGATATCCATTTATTTATTAATTGATGCTTAAATATGACCTATTGAACATTTTGTTCGGAAACAGTCCTGTTCGACGAGAAGTTCTCTTGTAAATCTGTTTTTTTCGAATTTTTTTTGTAGAATAAATTTCTTTTTTAAATCATTGCAAACAGTTTGCATTTGAATAATCCCAGGTTATATAATTATTTTCAGAGAGACTGTATTTAGAGAGTCTTGATGAGAGAGAATCTCAACAACTACGAAAAACGTGAATCATGTTAAGAAAAAATCATTTATGTGAAAGGAAAAAAATCAAAGCCATGCGTTTTTCGCTGCCTCTTACATGTAGACACTTGGTAAATGTTGATATTCAGATATTTGGGTCAAGCACCACTTATCCAAACGATACTGATCTCAAAAGTAGAGGCTAAATCACAACGTAAATATTCGTGTGTTTTTGAGGCGATCGACCCAACAGATTATATTAGTCCCAATACTTGCTAGAGTGGAATTCGTAACCACAACATCAACAATAATAACTGGTTTCACCCTGAGGATTGAGATCACTGCACACGATTATACCATATGAAGCTCTTCCACTACTTTTTTTCCACAATGCAAAATCATTCTTTTGAGCAGAAACGTGGGAATGACATCGTGTAGACTCTAAAGAAACAAAGACAGTGACGATTGTGTCACGGACGAGGCTTGATGTAGATGGACGCGAATTGAATTATTTACGTGAAAGGCTGATTCCTATGTGCAACTCAACTGAACTCGTAGAGTAGAAAGATTGGACCAAGAACAGCTACGAGCTCTAAATTCAGAGAGCAACGTTAGTGGCAATGGATAAAAATATAATCTCATAGGATGACTGTTAAACTGAATCTCGTAAGCTAGGTGAACCAGTTACGGGTAGACTTTGAAAAGATGGACTCTCCAGACGTTCTAAGTAGCGTAAGTGCATTCCGCTCATGAATCATAATGGTATAAGACAAATTCATTCTCAGATGGAAAAGTGTAAAACGTGATACAGAAACCACCTGATATCTTACACCACAAAAGCAAATAGATCACAATAGTTCAAAACAAGTAGACTTAGGTTCAAAACAAGTAGACTTAGGAATCCAAATATGATTAAAAATGTTCACAGCTCAGTACATGATTTCAGGCTACCCTCAAAGTTCCATGATCCAGAAGGTCAAAGACTTCATATTATGTTACAAATGTTTTATAATATTGTAAAATTCATGGTTGAAATTATTCCGATTGAAGAATATTTCAAGTTACTGTAATCTGTTCAAGTGCTCCTTCTAACTCTACAATGTTACATTGCAATCTGTGCGCCGTAATTTTATCTCCGCCCTATACATACATCCTAAACCTCAGAACTTGGACATGTTTTAAATGTGAAACATATTAATCCAATAGACTTACCATGACATGAAGTGAAGGTAGCCATGGTGTACAAGGTCACGAGGGTAACAATGGTCGCTCATCACTGCTGAGTGGATGCTTAAACGAGAAGTAAATATTTAATAAACAGAAAGGAAGAGCTTTATGGAGTCGTACATTTCTCGAACATTGGACTCCATGATGTCATCACCATGAGTCCTACTGGAATTGTTGACTACAAGTATGGGGTTCTTAAAGAATTCCGAACTCACCAATCGGGAAGCAGTAACCAAATGGTCGGGCACTGGCAAAAAGTGACCTCCTTGCATACTCGAAAGATTTAGATTCTTGTTGTTCGGCTACATACCTTTTGGAGCTGAGCTGGGTACTCTCCACGTGCATCAATTCGATTCTGATGGGCTTTAAAGTTCTGAGCATTCCAAATGTTACTCCCACACTTCGGTGCAAAGTACAAGGACCACTGTCACCACTTTCTGCACAGGCATCAAGGCAGAATAAATGGCCTGAGAACCTACTACCACATGATTGATCTTCGCATCATTTCTTGGTAAATACGGCGGCTTCTTCACATTCTTTCATCATTTACGCTGCGGGTTTCGGCGCACGAGAAAAACCTTCTATCTCTGCGCAAACGCTGGGCTTCATAGCAGATTAAGTTTTCGAAGATAATCTTCCTTGGCCAGTCTAAAGTGTAGACGGGGATAAGTTTCGCCTGTCTATGAAACTTTGATCTTGGAGTGCATCTGCAAGTGGCCTTTTCCAAACACATGATACAAGTTTTAATTGCAGTTACCTGGTTTACATAGTGTACTTGTGCACATTTTTATGATGTTTGATCTTAGATATCATACCTATCACTACTTAATTTAATCCGTGAGGACAAAGGAACTATAGACGAACTAAAGTTTTTAAAAATGAATGCGGATGGTCAATTCTGCTTTGAACCATTGATCTTGTTTCTTCAGATCAATTGCTTTTTATCTACAAGACTTGCTAGATAATCTGATGTATGATCTCAGCTGCATTTCTCCACTCATTGCATTCAAGAGAAAACCCGGTTGTCCACAAAGTTCAAATCATGGAAAAACAACATGATCTTGAGAGGTTCAGAGGGATCAAATGAAACTCAAAATTAAAACTGCAGATTAGACTATTCTCCTGTCCCCAACTTCCATAGGAGTCCAAGATAGCCTGAGAATCATCACCAACAATAAAGGAAAACAATTTCAAGATTTGAACTTCGAATGATTTCTCTAATGAGTATTGGTTTATTTTATATTATTTTCATTATCATTATAAATTTTGGACACTATTTATAAAGATTGAACAGGAGAACTGAACAAACAACATACGGGTGTCACCTATAGAACATTGTATATTTAATTATCATTTTCATATGTATGAAAGATATATTCAATCAATGACACTTTTCCTATTGTAAAAGGAAATAATACAGGTTTATTTAATTATCATTTTCATATGTATGAAAGATATATTCAATCAATGACACTTTTCCTTTTGTAAAAGGAAATAATACAGGTATCTCCTGTTCAATCTATATAAGTAAGGTCCAAAATTGGCATGGAATACTACTTCAAGATTGGAACTTTCGAATGATTTCTCAAATGAGTATTGGTTTCTTTATTATACTTTTTTCATCATCCATGTCAATTTTAGACATTACTTATATAGATTGAACAGGAAATTCCTATATTATTTCTTTTTATAGTAAGAGAATCTAGAAATAATGTCATTGATTGAATATATGTTTCATACATATGAAAATGATAATATAATATAAAATGTTTTATAGGTGATACTCGTACATTATTTGTTGAATATTCCTTTCAGTCTATAAAATAGTCTCCAAAATTTGCATGGACAATGAAAAATATATAATAGAAAAACCAATAGTCATTAGAGAAATCATTCGAAGTTCAGATCTTGAAATTTTTTTCCTCTATTGTTGGAGATGATTCTCATGCCATCTTGGACTTCTATGAAAGCTATGTACAGGAGTAGAAAATCTAGAATAATCTAATCTGCATAATAATTTTGAGTTTCATTTGACAAACTAAGATCACTCTGAACCTCTCAAATCGTATTGTAAATATATAGTCTCCAAAATTTGTAGGGCTAATGAAAAAAACATAATAACGATACCAATACTCATTAGAAAAAACATTGGGAGTTCAGGTCTTGAAAGTTTTTTCTTCTATTGAATCTTATATATATATATGAGTCTGCTGCATGAATTCTATATTGGATACTCTTTGTATCAATAGTCATTAAAAATATCTATTTAATGACATTAAGTGTTTAATTTTTTAGAAATTTAAAAAATTTCTAAATTTTTTTCCAAATAGTAGATTAGATTATATCTTCTCCTCAGAAGGATCAAATTTACTATCCATTTATTCAATTTTCGAATAATTTTAAATTATTTATCTCATTTTTATTTAAAATCTTCGTAAATTTTAAATTCTTTTATATCATCTAATATATCTGAAAAAAAATTTAAAATTTTTAATAAATTGTATAAGTCAAATTTTAAATAGAATAAAATAACACTCAACATGTATATTAGGAATTTTGATAGATATGTATTACATTAATAAAAAACATGTATTTATATTCAGATTTCAGTTTTCATCCAATCAATAATTTGTATTTTTATTTTCTAGGTCTTACTTCTTATCATCGGAAACCCATATCATGAGATATATGACGAAATACTAGCATATCATGACATAAATGTTACGTTACTGTCTCGAAAGTATCAGCATTGAATGTTGCAATTTAGAAGTACAATGGAGATATTTATGAGACGACATTTTATAGGGCTCCGGTATAGACTATGTTTTATAATATGTATATATATATATATATAATTGATGAAATACAATTTATGAGACTCGTGACTGACATTGGTTGTGACTTCGATAATCTTACAGCCCAATAACTCCTTGTCAGACTGTAATGCCATAAGTTCCTTGTGCAAGTTTGAGTTCAAAAAACACATTCCACACAATTGTGTGAGGTAGCGAACAGATTTTTTCGCAAGGGTCATTTTACAACATGTTCCTGTATGGCACGTGTTTGTCACCGCAAGATCCTTCTTACTCGTAGGTTTCATTGACACTCTTCTCCATGTTGCATACTAACAAAACTAGTAACGAGGGAAACTGCCCCGATTAAGTTATCTACGAGTTATCATGTACACATTGGTCTATATCGTCCCTTCGGGGACATCCGATAAAATTGGAAATATACAGAGAATATTAGCATGGCCCAAGGATGACACGTACAAAACGAAAAATCTATATATGTATTAGCTATTTTGAATGCGAGATATTTCACCAACTAAGATTACTAGTTTTCTTTCGAACAGATTCTGTTTATATTCTGTTTTCAACACCAAAATTTCTGTGCGTGTCTATATTTTCTGAACACAAGATGTTTCACACCTCGACATTATTTCTTTTCTTTACAACAGGATAATATACTTAACACTGATAGTTTTCGAATCATGTTCTGTGCGCTCGAAACCTTGAGCTCGAATTTCTTCTCACTTCAGCAAATCACATGTCTATTCTTAAAACCTAGATGATCTATCCACTTCTTCCACATATTTTTAAACCATTGTGTTTTGGTCTTCGTAGCATATAAAATTCCTCCAGCATGTTCATTTCCGTATTGGGTAGACACCTAGATTCATATGTGGCATAGACATGAATGTTGTTTATCCCATGGGTTGAGGGAGCAGTCATGCTCTCTCAACCATGACATGACCCACACTGAGAGCTCTCTTATTTGATAATACAATGTAGATGTACGATTGAATAAAACCAAAATATGAATGTTAATCAAGATTTTGTTCAGGATTTTTAAGCCAATATTCATGAGCATGCAAATTTGCTAGGAAAAAAATATAAACATCTTGAAGAATTGTTGAAAAAAAAGAGGAAAATATTTTACTGAAATTATTGATTTATTGCACTCCAATTTATAAGAAATAAATCTCAATTTGTTTAATTTTTTTATATAAAACTACATGTTTAATGACGATAACCTTCTTACATTTCAAACAAATCTATAAAAAATGTATCTATTTACAGTCAAAAGCTGAAAATTCTATGAAATTAAATTATTCCAAATTAATACCTTAATTGAAAACCAAATTACTATAAAGTTTGATCATTGAAGTATCTTATGATTTCCACATATTCAAAATTGATATTATTATAAATCAACCTAAAATCATTGATATTATCATAAACTAAAGAAGATATATTTTTCTGCAAGATTCTTATCACTAAGAGTTTACTATTTTTGAACAGCTATGAATGTTATTATATGAGTGAATTTTTTCCATATTTCACTCATATCATGTTTCCAATACTAAACATGACTTTTCAAAAATCAAGCTTCATGAAATATTTCTGCGAATGTGATATGAATAATAGTTTTGAATCTATCAATTCATAATAGCTGGATATTTCTTATTACAATGTCTAGCATCCATCATTTTTTGAAAAGTTTCTAATCAAATTTTTCTAAAACAGACATTATAGATTCATTCAAGATTGAATTTATTGTTTCTCCATGTGCATTTGATGTATCTAAATTTTCTAGAAAACTAACTAATTTAAAAAAAGAAAATAAATATTATTCATGAATTTTTTTTCATAATTGATTATCTTGATCAATATTAAAGCTAGTCCAATCAAGTATAATTTGAATGATTTTGTTGTGAACCATCAATTTTGAATAAAAATCAAAATCAAAATATTTGATCTTGTCATATACAATAAGTATTTACTATATATATATATTTCCAACTACTGTAAATATCTAACATAGTCAACATAGAATTAATCTCATTAATACATTCTCCTTATATTTTATAATATATTTTCAAAAAGTGATATTTAAATACAATGATGTCAACAAACATTTCCATAATAATAATCTCACATATTGTGTGAATGTGATAAAAATTCTAGTTGAATATAAATTGAAAGATAAGAAAATCTATAAATTGAATATTTAAATAAAAATTTAATTTTGAAATAATTAAATATAGAAATCTTCGAATTTAGATTTACATAATAATAATGATGTATAACACACAACCCAGTTATACTTATGTATAGAATATATTGTTCAATAAAGGTTCCCATTTTCTTGAGAGTGTTGCGGCCAAGGGTGAATAAAACCATTAAATCCGGGTGAAATCCATATAGTTGATGGTTTAATCATTGACGTGGCCTCGCATGCAATAACTTCATCGAGCATTGCCTCTCTGTATTTTCGGGCGAATTCTGTACTCTCTGTATTTTTGGGCAAATTTGTTACATCATGAAATCCGACCATGTCATTAAATCACATTTATGCGATTTGAGAATAATCGGGTCAAACACTTAAACCACACCAAATTTCACCACTCTGCCAGCCCTGGTTACGTCTAACCATCCCTGGATCACCTTGTCCGCAATCACAAGGGGATTGTACAAAAAAAATCTACTTATATATGGAAATGAAAGGGTTTATGATAGTCAGATTCTAAAACTACTCCAACAATAGAACAGGGATTTTTAAAAGTCCAGGTCTCTCTCTACAATATTGAAAAGGCAACGAGAGTACATTAATGCCCACGAGGGCTCAGAAAAGGAAGTCATGCAATGGCAGGGCATTCTGTGAAGTTGTCATCACATGGGATGGAGTAGGGAAGACGGAGCTCGAGCTCGACGGGTGCATGGATCTAGACAGCGGTCAACTGATCCATGTCTCCTCTTGAGACGTGAAAACGCACAAGACAAAGCGGTGGATGAGAACTGAACACCGCTAGGAAAATGATTGCACCATCTGTCCTCTGTTTGTGCAAGATCTTCAAGATGCCCGCATGTGAGTGAGTGAGTGAGTTGGCGCACAGCAGCTGAGAGAAAGAAGAAACGCCTTCCTGGTGAAATGCACGTGCTTACACCGTGGGCACCGCATGTCAATATTTTACGTGCATCTATTCCACATCTGGCCCTGTCAATGGCACAAATTGCCATGTTTCTCAATCTGCGAGCTCCAAGGACAGGAATGAAACACAGTCTAGAGCAGACGAGGAGGTACGACAAGTACAGAAAGGCATCAACGTGCCGAATACTGAAACTCGAGGATGCGGATGCGGTTTGGGTCCAGACTCGGAGAATGTCGGCCGACGAGCTCTCGGCATTCCTGACTTTCTCCAATCTTTCCAAATCTCTAGACCTTAATGGCCTCTATCCATCTTCCCCTGTTCCAGGCATCTGTCCTCGACGGTCTCGGATCTGATCTCCAGGCAACATTGCATAGCTGACAAGTTTAGTCCTAGCTGTCCTCTGAGCCTGCCGCCGTAGTCCAAAGGAAGTAGTGCCAGAATGTATTAAGTATACGCTAATGAATGATTCCTCGAGTTCCCTACGGCCTCCCGGTCTCATCCCACCCCACTTTTTGCCGCTAATCTTCAAGTGACGCCACGAGACAGGGAGTGCCGGTCTATACTCGCTTTAGATCTAGCGAACCCTGGAATGTAATGAACTTATGAACTCGCTTAGTGATGACTCGCAAGCAAGCAATCTGCAACGAAATGGCATCCATAACTACACTTTACACCCCAAGGGTCGTAGCTCCATCTCAATCGGACGCCACATAAAAATTGAATTCAATTGAAGAACGAGACGTGATGCAGGGGATCCAGCAGCACTCAAACATGAACATCGGAAGAGAAGACATTGGAATGTATTGCTCTCATCCCCAAGCAAACGATCAGTGACCAACACCATCACGGTCAGAAATCTATATCTCTACGAACTCCGACTTAGTCCACAAAGAGGATGGTTACAAGGAAAGCAACGTAGAGAGCATCTCGAAAGATATCCCATGACTGGTTTCTTCTTCCCCTGCCAGAGTCCAAAATGTACCACACCATGCAATCAGAGTACGGTGACTTGACAAATCAATCAGAAAGCCCGAGCGAGCTTCATCCTATGTTGTCAAATCACCGGACTTTGAATGCACAGCAAGCAGACTTCACCACCGGAAGTAACAAAATCACCCCCGAATCAGATGAAAGATGGGGAAATGACACACTTCGAAAAACATCGAGACAAGAAGACTAAGACCATCGTGAGACCAGCAGACATATCTTGAAGTTATGAGTCGCAAAAGATACCTGGCATCCTTCTGAGATGATGGTGCAGTGGAAGCAGTGGAAACAGTGCAGCGGGTTCAGGTTGACCGATGTTTGTTAGTCCAAACGACAAGACAGTAAGTGCCAAAATTAGCATGTACAGAGTATACATGTGTGTGCAAGGGATAAAGGACGCTTGGTCAAATAGGAAGACAGTCAACCGGTCTGTACAAGCAGAGATCCATGCTAGCTTCCTATGACAAGTACATGTGACTGTCCGGGGGCCAAGTACTGTAGATGTGATTGAGCATTGAGATTTTCTCTCTTGGCGAATCCCACGCCGGAGAGTACCTCTTAAGGACAAACTAAAACAGAATTGAAGAAAAGTAAGTCAATGCAGCTGTAAGATAAATGTCAACAAATCATGGATAATCTATTCGGAACCGTAGAAATGTTTTAAAGACGTATATTTGTGTGAGGTTTTCCTCCATAAGTTATGTCTTTAAATTCATTGTATATGGAACCATCGCCAGCTCACGGGATCGAGGACTGCGAATAATGGTGAAAATGTAAGCGACCGAGCCAGTAAATTCGTGCTAGTGAGGCTCGTGCGCCATGTACTCGATGTTTATGCCTGGAAAAGCTGACTTCCATCTCCGCCTGGGGCTGGCTGAATAAAAATATGTACATGTATACGTTAAGAAAACATATTTATTTGAAAGAAACTCTCCATATATTGTCGGACACATTGATTTAACTTCGATATACACACCCAGTAAATTCAGCTAAGAAACTATGGATACTTTTGTAGAACCACGTGAATATCCACACTAAGTTCCATACGTCACATCTTACTCCTCCATACATAAACTATCCTTTTCCACGTGTGCTTTCTCAACAAGTTTTCTTAAACCTGCACCATTCAGAGTACAAAATCTTCTTTTACCCAATACGAGCAATCAATATCCTGCGGACTTGAGTAAGGAAATCAAATATTTGCCACACTATAAATACATTTTATCCAGAGTCAAATTTGTTCTGATTTTGGATAAGATGGAAGACAATAGAAAGTGAGATTAATCATATATCCATGAAGGAATCACCTGCCAGTTTTAATATAAATACAATTATTATATACATATTACAATTCGAACATCCTAATTATCTTGTTCAAAATATGTTAATCTATGTTTGTTTAGAGTTCAGCTATATAATGGTGAAAAGATCAGCTGTTACTGATCTTGCACCAAAACTTTCTGCAGATGCTTCACGAATTTACAAAAACATCTGAAGCTTGTAATTTTCACGAAGTCTTTAACTTGAGACCATTGATTATTCTGCATTTGAGTGATGTACCTTAGCATCAGTCGGACAGGAGATGAAAACCTTGAGGCCCGCGCATGGGCCGGTATAGAAAGAGGTCTCTTTCAGTCAAATGAAGGAGAAGGAATGTCTTCGAGTTCGTGCCTTCAGCTTTGCTCGCTCATTGGTGTAACTCATCGACCACCTGTACGAGGTCTCAATACCTGTACATGGAATCCGCAATAATGCTTTGGAATGCATGTAAAGGGTCTACCTGAGTGTACTCGAGCACTTATCAATGATCTTAAGCTCTCTACAACGAGTTTCACTTGCAGTTGTGTCTTGAGGTCGAATCGTTGTTAGATAATATAATGATCATGGTTGCGCTTAGCGATGCAGCTCCATGATCCTCCCTAGATCTTCGTGAGCATTGAACTCCTTTCACGCTTTCCAAGCTTAACACGAAAAGTTCGTTGATAGGCTCATGCCCACGGACCTTCATTCCTTGCTTTATGATGATAGTGTATCGTGTTTGTACAGCATATGAGCAGGAGAACACAGTGATCAGCATGTTTGTTGCATGTGGATATTCTCAGAACAGTCATGATCTACTGTTAAAGGCTTTTTCAAAACACTTCATCCGAGGAGATCATAATCTGAAGTTCTGGGACAACAATGGGTGTCATAGCAGCATCGCAATGAAACAGAAAAAAGAGCATCGATCTTACGGTGTCAGAGGTGCAAATTCGATGTCGAATTCCGAACCATGAAATCAACCAAAAAATCAACGTGCAATTGTATCTTTTGTGCTGAGTGAGAAGAAGTTCTTTTGGAGATATTACGAACAAGGACCGAGTGACATCCACAGGCTTATAGAGAAACTCTTGAATAATGGGCAAATCTGGTTTTCAAGATTCGACAAACAGATTATACTTGAGTCAAGTCCAGCTTTGTATACGATCGCTGTTTCCGTAGTTGCTGGAGCGATTACAAACAATGTCAAAGCCACTCACTCCCAGACTCTTTCTGCAGATGGCGCACAGATGACCACAACAACGTCAACGATCGTTACTGACGCCCAAAAGCGTAGCCATCGATCGTGCTGCTTGTGCCTCGAGGTATTTAAATACGGTCTAGAATTCTGTGATCCTTGCAGATGCCAAGCAGCCTGCATCGAGGAAGCAAGCTTTTGTCTGGAATTTCAGACTGAGGGAAACACGACAGAAGAGACAAGTGAAGCATCCACCGTTTGAACTTGTTTGACCGCACGCGAAAAGGATCATCAGAAACAGAATAAACTACCCCAGTTCGATGTTCTACTGTTGTTGCTGCACACCGCTGTCAGTCAGCACCTTTACAGTCAAAGTCCAGAGGGTTAGACATCGATGTGCGGAAGATTGTCACTTATTTATTATCACCGGCGATTGTCATGTTCCCGACAACTCAAAACCAGAGTAAATAGGTGAACGACGACAAGAATTCAAGTGTCGAACCCGACTTGTTTTCTACTGAGGTGCATTTGATCACTCCTGATTATAGAAATGGAGATACAGTTGACGACAGCTATCTGAATCTGTTGTCAACCGAAACAAACAAGTTCACGTTGCAGCTTGATTCTGAACAGATGTTGGCCAGGTTGTTTTTCCAAAATAACTGCAAAAGCTCTGAACTGGTGAACACTGTTGATGCACAGTACTCATTTCTACTTACACTACTCTTCTAGCTTCAGCATTCGACTGAACCGACTGTAAAAGTAACTAGAAGCGCAATGATTGCACTTCAGACTATGGTAGGACCTGAACAATAGAGCTATATCTACTCGATGTCGAGGACGAGGCGGTGCCTCGTGAGATTGCTGTGAGCACTATTAAATACAATTGATCGTGCGTTCGATTACGATTATACTGCTGGGACTCAACACCACTCTGTTCATACGCTACATCTGGAGCCAACGAGAGGTATAAATCCACAACATGAAACATCTTCATATCAGGGGTAACTTGGCTTCTTACTCTTTTTTTTGTGGCATTTATTTTAACTTCTACGTTGCATTCGTTCACGAGATGGGAGTCAAACGCCGCTCGGACGTACTCTGCTCAAGGCGCACTCACATCGCTTCTGAATCCTCGCACTATTATCTTTTGTCGTCAATCCCTTTTCTTCACTCTTCCCTTCTTTGCCTGCGTTCCTTCTGATACGCACGTGCACCGACTTACAGCAACATATAGCAACAACAAGTGGAAGAGTCCACTCGGATTGCAGGCATGAAGATGGCTACGACCCAATAGCATCACAATGTGAACTATGTGCACATAATATATCACTGTTACATAATCTGCCTCTATCCTCAGCTGAAGTATTCTTGCAGTCACATGCAATTCTGCAAGTACTGCACGGAGATTGATATTGCTGGATGTGAGCTCACCTCCAGCGGCGGTGTGGCGGTGACTTCGTGTTTTGGTTATGACGAGTCAATAATGCGTGTCTTTCGTTAACTGACACCGGGGTTTATGGTTTTATGTGATCGCAGCCCGCTGGCAAAATAAATTATTTATTTTAGGAACAAAGAAAAATTCGTTCGAATCCGTGTTTGTAGTGCCATAATTTGCAACTTTAACCCCTTCAACCCCTAAGTTATATCCACCCTTTTTTTAAAATAAGATCAAGGTATTGGATTCAAACCGATATTCCATTAGATACAGATTTTGAATTTTTCTCTGAAAGTCTTGATGAATGGAACCAATAAAGGGATGAACTAAAAACATTGAACGTTGAATTTATATATAATTTTTGGGTTGGTGGTTTCCAGGTACGGACCGTCTTGACGTTGATTTGCACTTTCCGGCAGTAAGAAAATGGTGTGATCTATATAATATGAGTTTAATTCAACAGTATGCTATTGGGACCTAACCTCATATTCTTCGTTGAATTTGTCCACTGACGTTCCACTACCCTGAGTTTGGTTGTGACTACGCAAAAATCATATTCGTTTGACGAAGAGTGTCGGGATGGTCAATTCCTTTGAGGGCTTTTCACACAAATTTGTCGTGGTTTCCACTTGCTATCGGGGAATCAAAAGCAGGTGGCCTCAGAATCATAGCACAAAGTATGGCAGTGGAACTTCGGTGGACAAATTCAACGAAGAACATGAGGTTAGGTCCCAATAGCATACTGTTAAATTAAACTCATATTATATAGATCACCTCAAATTATTAATATCCTATGTGCTAAACTATTGAATAAACTTTGTGGAGAAATGCAAACACATTGACTATATTAACGAACATGTTAAGATAAATAAAGCATTAGACTAAAGTTTTAGTCTCTCACACAAATGATCATCTAATTTTTGGAAAGACCATCCATATATATATTTAATACTTATGTAATATGAACACACATAGATTCTTCTTACTCATATACTTGAAGGGGTATTGGCTATTTCCGTGTCATCTGCACCATAAATATACTTAAGCACATACTTGTATACAAATTGCAATACTTGACAATATTGATCGTTGATGCTTCACTTGATATTATTAAAACATGATTGATCTCATAATTTCTCAATAGCCATCAAATTCCAACATTCAAGTACTTCACTTGATGAATGTAAATTTACTATAAAATTTATTGATTGTCATCTAAAATTTGAATTTCATCTTATTGATGAAATAAGATCCTATTTCATCTTATTGTTTTATTGAAAATCCTTATTTTTGTACTCTGTCTCGACAGATTGTAACTTCTTTCCAACAAGCGCTTCAACATACTCCTTCTCTATTTCTATCTTGCGCCGCAGCTGTCTCTTTGATTGTTGTGAATTTTGCAACATAGCAGACATCAAACCTAAGATCGGAACTATGCAGCCCAAGAAGAGAACATTCAAGAAGTTCATCCTTAGGGATGTAGATCTAAATGCATTCCTGAACATGAGCTCTGACGAGCTCGTGGAGCTCTTCCAAGTTCGTGCACGTAGAAGTTTCCAAAGGGGTCTCAAGAGGAAGTCCATGGCCCTTATCAAGAAGCTTTGCAAGGCTAAACGTGAAGCCTCAACTGGCGAGAAGCTAGAGCTAGTGAGGACTCATCTTTGAAACATAATCATTGTGTCTGATATGATTGGCAGCGTCATCAGTGTGTACAACGGAAAGACCTTCAACCAGGTTGAGATTAAGCCGGAGATGATTAGACACTACTTTGGCGAGTTCTCTATCTCATACAAACCAATGAAGCACGGTAGATCCCGTATTGGAGCAACCCACTCTTCCAAGTTTATCCCACTAAAGTAGAGATTTATCGGCCTTTCTCTCACAAAACTGAAGTATGGCATCTTCATAGTAAGCAAGATTTGCAGATCTGAAAAGGTTTCAGCACTATATTGCATTCAACTAGCTCACGATCCTAGTGGAGGATGACGTGGTGAATAAACCTAACAAGCACACGGATTGTTGACGTGGCGCTCCCAACTAACACACTCAATCCTTACCTAACAAACACGCGGATCGCTGACGTGTAAGCTATGACTATTGCACGCTAAAGTATCTATATCAACATTTAGAGTAACATCTACCTTAGTTCTAACTAACTTAAGATTGTTACAAATCTCCATCCTTTTAAGATGTAACGTACTCGTTGCACATCCGTTCAAATTCTTTAACTATCAACGGTACATCAGGTAGAATTCAGGATGGTTCACAAGTTGATTCGTATGATAAATATCCTTTTCATTAAACCAAATACGTAATCAAGGGATAGTTATGGTCTTGAATCCATTTCTTGAGGATTTTTTCTACCTCAAATTCCTCTTGATCAGCTATCAAGGTTGGTAAAAGAGTTAACATTGCTTGATTTGTGAATTGTTCCTACAAGAGACAACATTGGTACTTTTGTGATATTAAAATGTGTTGGTGAAGTGTCATACAAGTTGGAGCTTCCGTCACATATAAAAATGCATCATGTCTTTTATGTGTGACAATTGCGAGACCATATACCACAATCCAAACAATTCACAAATCATCATTCTTAGTGTTCCTACAAGAGACAAATTTGTTGTAGATAGTCAAACCTGAAAAACTAAATCTCAACGATGAGCATCAACATGCTATTTTTGTCAATTTTGAGCAATCAACACTTTCTCCTTTTCTTAATGTAGCCCTCGGTGAATATGTTACACAAACTCGTTGATCGCGGCTATCTTAGTTGAAAATATCTCTCTTTTCAAAAACTTCATCAAACTTGATGGAGTAATGGGATGAACACCGTACATAAAGTAAAATGAAGACATCTTTGTAAATGCATTTACAGAATTGTTATATGCAAATTCCACAAGAGGCAAAAGAGTATCACACTCTTCTTGCTCCTCTAATGTGAATGGCCGTAGCATATCCTCTACAGTTCTATTGGCTTTCTCCGTTTGGTGCTTAGTTTTTTTGTTTTTTGCATAAATAACAAAAACTTAAACATATTCATGTCAAAAAGTATGCATACAAGTCTTTAGTCAAAGGGGTTAGGAGAATTACGAGAAATTTAGTTAGTTAGAGAAGGAAAGTGGAATTCGCCTTCGGCCAAAGACCTTCGGATCTTTGGACCATCGGCGCAGCCATTTTAAAGGATGCAATGGCCGGGCCTTCGGCGAAGACGACGAATTCCAATTTGAACTCGCGAAGGGCCGGTCAAGGCTCGCACGCGCCGAGGGTAACAATTCACTCGTGTGTGAGGAATGTTAGGGCATCAAGGGTAAGAGCACGACGAGAAAACTCGCGCGGACATTGCTATATCGAGAGGAAGAGAGAGAATTGAATTCGATCGACCTTGATAGCAGCGAAGACGCGATTGGAGATATGGCGCCGTCCACGACAGCCAAGGTGCGGATATTGGTTCCACTGAAGGTGCCTTGTGCAGAGTTGCAACCCTATAGGCGGGAGCTTATCGAGCTACACTTAGATTTCCTCCTATGGGATTGGAATTGCGTGTTGGCAAACATCTGTATGGAGATGATGGACAAGAATCGGAACAAGGAAGATGATCTCTGCGGCAATCCGATGTTGTGGACAATTGATCACTAGACGAGAGTTCTAGTTCCATGCGCAGGAGAAGATGGTGACTACATGTTCGAGAAGGATATCATCAAGATTACGCGCGCAGAGGAATTTACCTTCGGGGCATTCTTCAAGAACGCAAGGTTAGGGAAGAATGGGTGGAAGACTGCCTATTACAAGGACTCGATGAGGCGTGTTATTGCGTTGGAAATAATGCACATTCTGCGACCGCAACGCACAACTTACGTCATCGCTTGGTAGGTCGGCTTCTTCGAGCGCGCATTGAAGGGAGACCGAATTCATGGGCGAAGATCTTCCACGATTTATTGTGGACCAATGTCAACACGCGGTGGAAGAGTGGATTGATTAATCACATAACTCTTACCTAATGAATTTCTATCGAGGGATGCGGTTACTAACGTAAGAGGAAGGGAGGCGATTCTTGAAGGAACATGAGGTTTTGGCAATGGAGTCCAGCAAGGAGAAAGAGAAAAAGTACAATGTCCAACCGGAAGTGCCACCTCAGAGGACAGCAGTGTAGCGAAGATGGATGCAACGGCCTCGACAACAGACGAAGAGAAGAGGGAGGAGCCTACTATTCGGATAGCGGAAGGAGGACCTTCGGCGATACAAGCTGAAGTCTCGATGGAACCAGCAGTGGAACCTTCGGAGGAAAGGATGGAGACGGTTAGTCCAAGTCCTCCATCTTTGGAGCAGTCGCGATCTATGGGGAGTGAGGAAGTACCACAATCAAAGTCCAGTGAAGAGATGGCGAGAGATCTCACACTCAGTGAAGAGATACTCGAGCAGGTAGTGACACAGGTTGGTGAGATAGTGGTAGAGGTTCCCGAGATTGCATCGTCCTCACCACCCGAGGAAGAGTTAAGACCTGATGCAGGGAAGAAGGTGGAGCAGTAGGAATTAAGTGAGCCAGCTATCTCTTTTCCTGATTTCGTGTAGTATAGTGTAACCCCTCTACTGAAGTATTTAGATAAGAAGAGAGGAAAGTATGTTGTGGAGAAAGCATCAGGGTTCTACATAGAGCTAGTAAGGAATAGAACCAAGATCAAGAGAGCAGTAGCGGTGAAGAGGGAGTGGGATTCTGCAACTGCAATGGCGAAGGAACGAGTTGCGAGCTTGACATCCGAGTGCGCGACCATGAGAGCGGCACTACTAGAGCGAGAAGACCATCTTCGGGCGAAGGAGAAGGAGTGCGAGGTTCTTTGGCTAAATTTGGCTAAGGAGACTGAACGGCGTATGTCGTCCGAGTAGGACTGTGACAGTCTTTGGGTGTTCCATGCGAATGTACAGAAGGCAACAGTGGATTTATGTAAGAGCTTGGAAGCATCCAAGGTGGCCTACGCCGCGGAAGTGCAACATGTGGAGGAATTGATTGTGGCTTTGGCGAAGCGCGATCAATTGCATGCTACGGAGTTAGCTAAGGCGGAAGAGCGAAGAGCTGAAGAGGAACGGATAGCCGAAGAGCTTTGGGGTTAGGTTGTTGCGACAAAGACGGAGCAAGTGGAACTTCAGAGTAGGATCGCGGAGCTTACTGATGATCGTGATAAAGAGTTACAATGCGCGGATGAGCTCACGGCGAGTCTAGCGAGTGTACTCCGGAAGCACGCAGTCGAATTGAGTGATTGGGCCAAGAAATTGGCAGATTGTGAAGCGGCCAGATCTTCAAAGGTCGAATGTAAAGTAAGATTCGAATCGGAATATGAATGGTTGCAGGAGCAATTGAAGTTAGTTGCTTTGCAGTTGGAGGAGTCGCGGGCGAGAGTGGAAAAGGCAGAGACGGCACACCAACAGCTGCGAGACGAGATAATTGACGGTTTGCGTTTGCGTGTAAAGAAGTGCCTGCACGGGTTTGCGATCTGGGAAGTGCAAACGCTTAAATGGCTAAAGTTGGATTTGCTGAAGCGACAGTTGATGAGTATGAAGGTCAGCGGGTCCGCGGGGCACAAATAGTTAGTTCAGTTAGTTAATTCTTTCTCTTCTGGATTGGAAGAGGCGCAAGAAAATATAAAGATGGAGATTGTAAACGTATTGCGTAGGTTAGGAGCTGATGGAAGCTCAAAGGACGTCGTAACCGCTTGTAATAACCCACTAAAGGCTAAAACTGCAATATAGTGGTAGAAAGGTCGAACCCACAGGGACAGAGGAACACACAGGGTACAAAGTGTCACGTTTTAACAGACTATTGAGGAGTTTGAATTCTCAGGCGACTGTCACTCCCAGAAATACTGCAAGTGTCCACTCGGAGCGCACTCGGAGGTCGCACAGTGCAGCGTAACACACACACACACACACCTGAAACTACAGAAACACAACCCAGAGATCCGTTAGGACCTCTACTTCAAGATTTCAGGGGGAAAGTCTCTCAAGAGTACACTCTGCGAAGCTGCGGGTAGTGACTTCCAACTCCGGCTTTTACAACACTTCCACTAGCTTGCTGCTAGTGTAGGAAACCCGGTTTGGACTGCCTACTTCGGATCGAAGTCACTCAGACGCGGTGAACAACACTCTCAACTCACAAAACGCGCAGAGAACACAGGTCCACACTGAAGGACTCACTGTGAAACATTCCAGTAACACAACAACAGTCTATTGAAGAGTTTGAATTCTCAGGCACTTGTCATTCCCAGAAATACTACAGGGGTTACCCTCAAGGCACCTGCTGCAGCGTAACCTGAATTTACAACCAAGGCTTACACGAAGTAGCAAAACTTCACTTTGGCATTCAGGGGAAAAATCCCAAGGAGTACAATCGGAAAGAAACACTCGAAGGTGTAGGGGCGAAACTGTTCAAGTATCTAACTAGTCACTGGCTCTGAGCATCGGCAGTCACCCGCAGGTGCAGATCCGAACTACTCAAGTCTCTAACCAATGTACTAGCTCTGAACATTCGGCCGAAGGCCTTCAGCTACAAAATGCGGAACGCTAAGTTGTAACTCCTCGTGCGTGGTGACAGAACTCAAGGACACAAACACGCAAAGGAAATGGGTTCCTGATCTGTACTTCTGATGGGAAAGAACCCCAGGCAAAACGCCTGGAACTATTTTATACCTTCTAAGTCCTACCTAGCACTACACTGCACTACGCTACACGCCTGCACGGAACCACGCTACACTACACTCCGCGGAACCTGTACTACGTCTCCTGCGCGGCCGACTGCCGCGCACTAACTCCCTACCCTGCCAATCTTCCGCTCGACTGCGCAGTCCCAACCGCTGCAACGCCGCGGACAC